GAGACTCGCTTGAGCCCAGGAGTTGGAGGTTGCTGTGAGCTGTAATGCCACAGCACTCTACCCAGGGGGACAGCTTGAGGCTCTGTCTCAAAAAAGAAAAAGAAAAAAAATAAATAAATAAAAATAAAACTAGAGGCCAGGCGTTGTGTGGGCATTATTGTGGGAGCCTGTAGTCTCAGCTACTTGGGAGGCTGAGGCAAGAAGATCGCTAGTGCCCAGGAGTTTGAGGTTGCTGTGCACTAAGACACAACGACACTCTACTAAGGGCAACAAAGTGAGATTGTGTCTCAAAAACAAACAAACCAACCAAACATAAAAACACCTTTTATTTTGGAAAATATATTTCAAAAAGTAGGGAGAATAATAACATGAATTCCATCTCAATCACTCAGTTTCAGTAGTTATCAATGCCTGGCCTTGATACGGGAGATTTTGAAGCAAATCCCTTTCAAATTCACATCAATATGAAAAAAACCTGCAGAATTTAAAATATGATCATAAGTCATCTTTTTCTTCACTGTTACTAGGTAAAATCAGAGCTTAACTCATTCTTAATTTAGTAGTACCTTCTGGCAAGACTAAAGATGCCTGAGAGACTTAGGTTTTGCTTTAAAGCAATTTTACAATCACCTTAAAAGTGAACACAGGAAGCCATTCCCACATAAATGCCCTCCTTTGAGACACTGAGAAATAATCACATTCCTCTAGTTTTGCTAAGACTAACCCATGTTCTCGAACACTGGGGAATAGTTGGTGGGAGTGTGCAAAATCCCCAGAATAGGATTTTTCAAAGGGAACAGAGGTTCCTGCACCTATTGAATTAACAGTTCCCCAACTGAAGCACTCCATGCGGCTTCTACACTTTCTGGGTTGCCCAAAGATTCCAATGTGGGATCTTTTAATTATGGAAAGGTAATCGAATTCCTCAAAAACTCGAAATTCCACCCCCTGTGATTATGTACCCACTCCAGCCATTCGAGTTTGCACGAGCTTGATCACATGTTGAGGGAGTTCTCCACTGGTGGGAGCGGGGGCTCTAGGGCTACACTGAAAGGGTTGGAGTCCCAGCTCTGCCAGCCTCGAGCGTGTGTCCGTGCAAATAATGCCCTGGGCCTCCATTTGCTCCTCCATAAAATGGGCATCAGACGCCGTACCCGCCCAGAGTTGAACAGGAGATAATCCATTTAGATAGCTCCCAGACTCAGCAGTAAGCTACCAGGTCTGGAGTCGCTCGATCCCACCACTGAAGCTGGCCGTACAATCTGGCGTGGCTCCCGACCATCCCAGGCAGCCGCCTCGCCCGGCTCTGCTGGACCCGGCCCTGCCCCCTTCCCGCCGCGCGGCCGGCCAGCGGCTCCCGCCTGGCCCGGCCCCGCCCGCGCGGCGGCCCCAGCAGCCGCCAAGCCCCGCACCCCAGAAGTCCGGGCTCTGCCGGGCAACCGAGGTGTGCAGGAGGAGCTCCATCCTGGGATCTGGCGGTCCCTGTGGGACCCACGCGTGGCCAAGGGAAAACGCGCAGGGACCGCGGGTTGGGTCCCTACGCCGAGGCCGGGCTCCACAGCCCCCAGCTCAGGCCCAATGTGAAGGGGGCCGCGCCCTCCCACGAAGGGCGGCTCCAGGGGCCGCTGAAGAGGGGCCGCGCCGGGCGGAGGCGAGGCAGAGGCGGAACTGGGGTGCGGGCCTCCAGGGCACCTGCGTCCTCACCGATCAGCCCGACTCCGAGCATCAGCTGAGTGTCCGCCGCCTCAGCCGCAGCCATCTTCCGCCGCAGCAGCGAGCCGCTCCGGCTCCAAGCCAGCCGCCCCGCCCGGCCCGCAGGCCCCGGCCCCGCCCCATCTACCCAGGCCCCGCCCTGCCCGCAGCCTCCACCCCTGTGGCGCCGGCTCTGCCCGCAGGCCCCGCCTCCTCACCTAGGCTCCGCCCGCCCTGGCCCCGCCTCAGCCCGCCCATACTTCTCTGTGCAGTTCCTTCTTTTCGTGTTCTGTCTTTGGTCCTTCCGTTTGGAGACCTCCTTCCTCCTCTACGTCCTCCACAGTTTCTCGACTCCAGATCTCCAACTTCTTCCTCAACTCACTCCAATCCTTCTACCCCTTCTTAGTTTTTCCTTATTGTACCTCCAACCTCCAGTCTGGCTCAAAAGAGCAGGTCACCATGTTCATAAAAATTGAGGCATCTTGGCCCGCGCGGTGGCTCACGTCTGTAATCTTAACACTCCGGGAGGCTGAGGTGGGTGGCTCTCCTGAGTTTAGGAGTTCAAGACCAGCCTGAGCCAGAGCGAGACCACCATCTCTAATAATAGCCCGCTGTTGTGGCGGGCGCCTGTACTCTCAGCTACTCAGGAGGCTGAGGCAAGACAATCGCTTGAGCCCAAGAGTTGGAGGTTGCTGTGAGCTGTGACGCCACAGCACTCTACCGAGGGTGACAAAGTGAGACTGAGAGAGCGAGAAGGGAGGGAAGAAAGAAAAAGGA